GTACTTAAGACCTTTTATATATACTGGTCTTCCGCTTAATTATCTTGAGGAGTCTTCCATTGATTCTGTAGAAAAAGTTAGGTTCTATGGATTCATTTCATATTGGGCATTTCTTTTGTAGAAATGTGTAGCAATCACAGTTCACTGTGTATATGTGTGCACATGTGTGTAGTGTCTGTTCTTCCTGCACAGAGAAAGTAGCTATATTTTCTAGCCTGGTAGCTGCTAGCCACTTATGGCTGTCTAATGAGTTAAAATTAAATAATCTCAAAACTTAAGTTCCTCATTTTAATAGTCACATGCTTTTATTATTAGTCAGGTGCTTGTTAATTATGTATGACTACTGGCTGTTGTATTAGACAGGCGGGATAGGAGGTTTCTTGTTATCAAAATTATTCCTATAATCCAAATTATTGTCATGTGCCTAATGTCTACCATACAGTACTTTATTTAACTTAAAATAAATCTGGCTATTGAAATTTGGCAAGTCTGAATTGAAGTGTGCTATAAATATACAATATGAACTTGACTTTAGTGCAAAATAATAAAATCTATTTTAAAAATAGTGATTATATATTACAGTAATGATATATTTTGGATATATTGAATTAAATAAGTTATAGAATAATTAGTGTTACCTGTCTGCTGTAATGTGACTACTAGAAAATCAGCAAATTCCTGTGGCTTTCAGTATGTTTCTATAGTGATGGCCTGCCTCTAGGCCAGAAGCTTTCGCAGGGGTAGGGACTGTGCCCTGTTGCCCGCTGCATTCAGTGCAGGTAGGAGGGCCCAGCACAGAGCAGTGAGTGAATAAAGGACGACTGACTTTGAACATCACTGTAATTGACAAGCAACAATTACCGAACAACTCTTACTTTTCAGAATTGTGAGCTTTGTATGCAAAGCTATTGTATGCAAAAGTTGTCAAGATAGATGCTTTCCTTTTGATCATCAATATAAAAAATTATTTTGGACAACTAAGGAGAAAGGAGGAAATAAAAATCTGCCAGTTTATTTCCTGTTGGTTTCTATGTAGCAGTTTTACTTTAATTGTACATGAAAGTTTGTGACCAATAGGGCTGGCCAAATGGTTCAGCTGATTAAAGCACCTGCTTAGGCAGATACAGGGGTTGGGGGTTTGATCTCAGGCGTGCTGGCCCCACCCCCAGGGCACACTGAGACAGCAAGTGAGACTAGGTGTGGGGCACACCCCTGTAATCCCAGCACTTGGAAGGCTGTAAATAGGAGGATCACCAGGAGCCCAATCTATGCAGTGAGACCCTGTAGAACCTGTCCTAAATACAAACCAAAAGAAGCTTATGAATATTAAATCTTAATATGTGAAAATTATAAATGCTTTTCCTTTATACTTTTTATCTCACTGCTGTGATGGTTCTTTGTAATTTGCATTTATTGTTCACCTTGCTTGTCATTTTAGACCTGAAACAAAGTCATTTATTTTTTTTCAATCTCTGTGTTGCCTTTTCAGGTCTCATTGAACTTGTGTGTTCAGTGTTTTGCTGAAGGAACCCCTTAACTACTACCCTCCCCCAAACTTTATATATACTTGGTGGGATTTTTTCCTATAATGAGTTCAAAGATATATACCAGGAGTTGCAAGCTCAAAACTTACTTTTGTAGGCAATATTCGTTTAACAAGGAAATAGTTGTTCATTTGTTTGTTTGTTTTTGGTAAGGAAATAGCTTTTGAAAGCTAGTTTTACCCCTTGGATGGTGGTTTTCAGACTTTATTCTTATTGATGCCAGTCGTGTTTAGCTGATCTCAGGGTGATCCACCAGTTGGAACCAGAGAGAATGCGCAAGGTTTATTCTGTTATAGGAAGAACAGTTTGAGCTATTCTTAGTCCTTTACTGTTGAAAGTTTTTGCCTCGCTCTGTGTGTACTCTATCAAAAGTTTTCCTAATAGTTTAGGTATTATGTGTATAGCAACTAGCAACTTTTTACAGTTGCCTTGTTTGTTTTTGGCCTTTTTTGATTTTACTGTATTTTTTTGGTTGAATTGTTTTTTTAGGAGAGGTTTATTTTTTTGTTTTGGTGCTGAGGACCGAACCCAGGGCTTCCAGCTAGCTAGGCACGCATTCTACCGCTGAGCCAAATACCCAGCCCCAAACTAGCAACTTTCTAAGCAAAAAAGTTGGCTGAGCATGGCAGTGTACACCTGTAATTCCATGACTTGGGAGGCCAGGAGGACCCTGAAACAGGAGGGTCCTATCAAGTTTGAGGCCAGCCTGGGCCTAGTAAGTTCAAGTCCAGCTTTAACTACATAGTAAGACCCTATCTCAAAAAAAGTGAAGTGGGACCAAGTTGTTCAGAGACTTTTTCTCTTCTAAATTGTTTTTCCTGATGTGTTTGGGAAGCATCTCTGGGCTCCCATAAAAGAATATACAGTACATCCTTTGCTTTATGTTCAAAAAGGGTATTGTCTTCTGCCATCAGGGAGTCCTGGAGTCTTGTGCAAGTTCCTTATCCCTAAGAAGCAATAATTGTCTTCATATAATCTATGTTAGGGGGCCAGGGAGATGGCTCAGTAGGATAAGCGTTCCCTGGCAAGCGCAAGGGCCTGAGTTCAGTCCCTGGTTCCGCTGCCCCTCCCAAAAAAAAAAAAAAAAAAAAACAACTGTGTTATATGGTTTATGGTTTGATATGCTTATTTTTACTTATTTTTGCTGTTTTCTTCTGTGGATGCTTTAGAAATAGAATACTATACCTTGGTTTTAACTGTGTGCTACCCAAAATGATAATTATCGTCCTGCAAATCTTTGGATAATCTGAAATTGGTAAGTCTGAATCATATCTGACTTCTTTTCTCTTACAGATTGAGAGTGGTCTTGGTGATATATTAAGACAGATTAGTGTGTTTCAGGCAAGTAATTACATTTTTTAAGTGAAAAAATGGCATCATACCAAGATTTATTTGGTTCCCATAACTAATTTTATGACCCCCAAATTTTAAGATTTCAGTGTTTGCCATTTTTCTATAACCTTTGAAAAGCTTTGGCCTTCTACATTGTTTTCTTCAAGTCTTACACTGTTAAGTGAAAATTTGAATTCTTTCTTGTGATTACTCCTGTACCTTTCCAGCTCCAGCATTTTACAGTAGTATCCATGCAGTGCGAAGGAAACCTGCACTTGGCTCATGAAGTGCTGGACATTCAGAGCAGGGAACCCTTGCAAAGGCTCTTGGGACTAGACCTCTGAATTGGCTCTTTCAATGTGTGCACTTAAAGGGCATCATGGATTATGCAGCTGTTTGGGCTTTAGCATGGTTTTGCCTCATATTCATGTCTAGTTGCAATTGTGTGAATTTTCAGTTCGATACAAAGACTTCATTTTTTGTTGGAAACAATTTTGTTGGCTTTTTTCTGAGTTTTCTCTGAGAAAAGAATGGTTGCAAGGTTTTGAATTTTGAAAAGTTAAATTTACTGTAATACATAAGTTTATTGAAAGCATATTTAAGAATAAATCACTTCCTTTAATTTTATATTGAATTTGATGTTTATTTTATGAATTCTAGTGGAAAATTTGATATAAGTAAAATTATATTTAAGTGCTCTTGAATCAGTCATATAGTGATTAATATCAGAGTAATGTTTGGTGGGCCAAGCTGTAAAATAGGAGCAACTTGAGGGTAGCAGGTGGAGCTTAGTGGTGGAAACTTGCCTAGCTTGCACAAGCATCTGGGTTCTATCCCCAGCACCACAAAAAAATGAAGTGAAATTTAAAAAAAAATTAATGAAGAAAAATAAAAATCATGAAGTTTCAATTAAAACATAAACATAAAATGTAGCAAATGTAGTTATGTATAACTACATTATAGTTATAGTGAAAGAGCGTCTTTTAAAAAAACAACACATCTATGTAGTATCACTTTAGAATCTCTGTAGTAAAAATACCACTTAAAATAGCTCATGGAATCTTTTGGAGGAATATATCTTTCATCTGTACCTTAAGGTGCCCTTTCCACCTTGAATTGGGTGCACAGTAGTTTCCCATCTTTTTAAAAAGAGTTTAAAAAGTTAACTTTCTAAACTTTCTACCTGGGTGTTGGGGAAATAGCTAAGTAATACATGCTTGCCTTGTGTGTGTGAGGTGCTGGGTTGATCTCCAGTCCAGCAAAAACCAAAATAAATAAAAATATTTATACCTGAATAAGTTGTTCTTCCGTCTTAGATCCCTGTTTGCAGTGGCAAGAAAGTAGCCTTGGCAAAAGGTACACTGTCAGGCTGTTAAGATAGCCCCACCCTCTTATCCTGGTACTGGGGATTGAACTCAGGACCTTCTGCTTGTCAGGCAGGTGCCTGTTCCGAGCTAGCTCCCCAGCTGTCCGGCTGCTAAGTGTGCTAAACACAGAAGTGCTGTTGCTGCTCATTTCCCCTCAGCTTTAAGTAGAAGTATCAGCGTTTGATGTCACTGAACATGTACTGTGCTCAGCTGCTCAGTTGAACAGCCGAGAAGAGACTCCCGCATGCAGTGCTGTAGCGCTGTGTATTTTCTCTTAGGTCTCTCCTTAAGACCCAGAAAACGCTGATAGTGTGTCTCCTAAAAATCTTGTGATGGGTTTTTTGGTAGTTGTTTTAACATTTCAAAGTGTAAACTCTGTTAAAGTAAGATTCTACTTATGGCTCTTCACAACTATCACGTGATTTAGGTTAAAAGCATGTATTTTAAACAGCTTTTCACTGAACTTCAAATTAAAGGTCCTAGGCTATTTTCATCCATGCTACTTAATTTTTCACCTAGACAAAAAGAAAGCAAATAGTAAAAATGGAAAAACTGAAACATTACCTACTGTTTCTTTAAGAAGCCAGCTTCTCCCGGAGGTTTTAGGGTGTTTAACCTAACATGCTAGCAAGGAAAAGTTCTTTAAATAATGGATATTAGCCTCATCCAATCACAATTATCAGTTTCACTAACAGGGAGGAGGTTTTACTCTCGGGCCACTAGAATTAGAGAAGGTGGAGCTTGGTATTCAAGTTCGGTTGCTTGGGAGTACAGCTTCAAGGGAAGTTAATCTGAGGGGAAGCAAACAGAAAATTGTGGAGGTTTTGTTGGTAGGATTTTTGTTCTAACCCTTTAATGTTCCTATATTTCATTATTTTGTTCTTTTATGCTTCTGTGTATATTAGGTTTTGTCATTGTTTCTATTTTCTGCTTCAGACTGAACATTAAAATTAAACAGGGAAGCAGAACAAAAGGACTGTTTGGACAGGAAATAGGTGTTCAGAGAATCAAACTTGACTTTCTTTTAATCATTATTTTTAGTTAAGAATTTGAGTGTCATTAAAAATCTTTGACTTAAAATCATATAGAAAACAGACTATGCTCTTGGATTGGCTGTTGGAGCAGTCATTTGTCAGTTTTTATAAATGACATCTTGAGAAAATTTATTTCCTTAAACCTGGGATGTTAAGTTGCTAAAAAAAACAGATAAATGTGGCAGGTTTAACTTTGTTCTTTTATAAGAATTGAAATGCCAACTATTTAATTTTCTTTGATACCCTTAATATTATCCCTCTTCTTTAAATCTTGTATATTTAAAATTCAGCAATATTTTTCATTTGGTCACAATTTTAGCTTTGTTTTTAAAAGAGAGTGCTTTATATTATGTAGAGCAAAGTAAAACTGTTTTCTTCAAACTGTTTCAAAGGTGGAGATAAGTAACAGCTTTTTGAAACAGGAAATGAAGGAATTTACGTATTTAAAAGCTATAAGCTCCCAAAACTTGGAAAAAAGTATCTAATACTCTGTTAACGTTTCTTACTTATGAAACAGTTTTCCTATGTGCCAGTATAATAATTTTTCTTTGTAGAGACTTTTCTATATGTTGTTGCCCTTTGCGCTCAGAAATTAAGGTATAAAAGTTCATTTCAGTAGTCCAAATGCAAGCTAAGCATTTTCTTCAGTGTACTTGCATTTGTTAGGTTGCTAGTTCCAAAGTATGCAGAGGGTTTTTTTAGATTAAATGCTTTTCTGCTATATCTATTGTTTAAGCTATACTATAATAAAATCATTAAGTTACCTGTATAACCACAATAATATTGTATGGTAGTCTAATTTTTTCTATCTTCTCTTTTATATCTTATGCTCTTGTGTTTTCTAATACTTTTGAATGAGTGCACATTTGTTTTGTTTTCACTAAACTGTATCCTCTCATTAAAGTTGATTTAAATCTGGTAGCCAAATACTACTTTTAGGTTGATTTAACCTTAATTAATCTAGTCTTTTGTTTGTTCTACTTTTAGATTGTTGCTGATTTTTTTTATCATTTTAAATAGCATTGCATTGAACATATTCTATGCATATCTTTACAATATTTTCCTTAAAAAAAAAAAAAAAAAAGACTCCTTTTGGAAAAAAGTCCCTTGGGTAGAGTTTACCTAGATTAAGGAATGTGAATACTCACTGGCCCAGTTGCTTCCCCAAAAGACTATGCAAATTTGTATATCAGCAACAGGATGTGTTTCAGAATTTCTCCAATGAGTAGGCCCTTAACTTTTGTATTGCAGTGTGCCTCCAGAGCTGAGTTGTTGGCTGGTTTTGGCCCACACAGCTAAACTCCATTTTCAAAGTACCAATGAATCTGAGTCCATTTTCTGGATATTAAAGTTTGCTGAAAGAAATTAAGAAAAATATCCATTTAAGTGAACAATTATGTATCTTTATTAGGTATTTCATTCATTATATATTGCAACCTGCAAGTATAGGACTTAATGTATTATAGTGGCTTTGTTGGTCATGTTAGCTCTCCTTAGAACTGTGTGTGCTGCTTTTGGTAAGCACATTCCAAAAGAAAGGTTTTCTTCTAAGAAACTGTATCAGAAACATTTTTAGGGAGGGCAAATACCTAATAGGAACATACATGAATTGCCGTTGTCACCACATTTCTGAAATTGGGGTTTTTTAAAAATATATTTTAGAGACAGAATTTGCATGTATAATTCTAGGTTTTAAAATGGTGTATTGCACTTTTATAGTACATGATAGATTTTTATTTAAAGGTTAAAAACTACAGACACAAAATGGTATGAGGCATGTTCCGTTTGTCTTTAAAAGCATTCTTTGTTTGGCAATGAGTGCAGATTAAGTATACCTTTACTGACCGGTCTGCTAAATGAAATAGGCTGTAACTGTTTTGGTATGAACTAGTTGACTAATGTTGCAGAATAAACTTGTTATTAAAGCACAATTCAAGACAGAAAAATGCCAGTTTAATTAACATATAGTAGTATCACTCATTGATGCAAACAGTAATTGAGTGTGTGTAGTTTTGAATTCAATAGTCTACCTTATTTTACATATCAAGTAAGTTATTTTTATAACTTTTATTTAAATTTATGAATAACTTAATATCTTTCCTATTAGCTGAAATGTTTGTCATTGATTCCCAGGGAAAGTTTTTTTATGCATTTTTTGTTTTTATGGTTGAAAAATATTTTTCCAGATGCACTTTCATTTTATTAACATTTAGGACAGTAGAGAAAAAACTAAGATTTTTAGTATTTATGTAATCAGTGTTTCCTTTCTGAATGTAAGAAAAATATTTGATTTTTTTTTTTTTTTTTTTTTTTTTTT